TGGCTGGTTACCAAGAGAGGCTCCCAGCTCTGGCTGCAGTTACTGCCTTTCCCTTTCCTCCTCCTTCCAGAGACAGACCTCCCTTTCCAAAAGGAAAAGTGGAATGAAACCAATAATCAGTGTTCTGGAAAATCTCTGCCAGCAAAGCAGTTTGTCACTTTAGAATGTGGGCCAGTGTAGAGCAGTAACTGCTGCATGAATTTCATTGCAAAAGTTTCCCTGTGGTACCTCTTCACTGAGTCAGCCTGCTCTGAGGATGTCCTTTCCCCAGGTACCAGTTTCGACTACTATTTCTCTCTATGTGCAGCCCTTGCAGGGCTGTTATTCCCACCATCTCAGAGTATAAGCACTAGGCTTGAGTTTGAAACAAGCCATTCACATGGGAGGAGGCAAGCCACTTTATGGCACTCATTTGAGTTCAAGAGGGGATTAAATTGTCACCACAGACAGAGCCACTTTGACTTCTGAAGACCCCCTTGAACTTAAGTCAGTAATTCATTAAAGGAAATGGAAGCCTTTATTAAATACTTTCATTTCCATTTTGCTAAACCCACAAATGAGCATGTGAGAGTCCATTCACAACTATGCGTGAGCAGCTCGTTCGCCTCTTGGCTCCATCCCTTGGCCTGTGCCCTGGCAATTTGCGCAGTGACGGTGGTGCACGAGCCTGTTATCGCTGTGGCAGGCTTCCCATAATAGTTTCTATAGTGATAACTTCAGGGCTCCATGGTAATGGACACAGGCAATTAATTTCCTGTCTATCCTTTTTCCTTGCATAGTTTTACTAGAGCCAAACTAAATGTCGAGTAGGAAAATCTTCTGTTTTGTCCCCCTAGCCTAGAAACAGTAGATAAGCATAAAATCTAAGCCAAACATTACATCTCTGGAGATTTCACATATGACTAATTACAATTTGGAAGTGCGTATTCTTTTAATTAAGCACTATTTTTTAACAGAAAATAGTAAGGACTGCAGTTGCTGAGTTACCCTTAGGATGTCAGGCTGTGAATTTCTGCCCTAGAAGTTGATCTGATACGAGGGCTTTTTTTTAATTTCCTCCATGCTGTCTTTTGCAGGCTTTACTGGGGAAGAAAGTAATCTGGTGTCAGGCATTTAGAAGGCTGGAGGATATTCCTGCAGTCGCACACCTCGCTAGTAATTTGTCCTATGGTGAATCATGAAGATTTGGCATGATAATGTCCTATCCAGTAGCAATTTTTAGATTTTGCAGTGGGAAATCAAACCAGTCTGATGCTCAGCCCGATTTGTAGCTGAATTGTTATTCCTTGTGATAACTGCTATTGCTTCCTATTTGTCATTGCACCAGGCTTGCACATGCATCACTCTGACAGGTGCTCTTTACGGCAGTGTTTCTAGAACTAGGTCAAGGAGGTTGATGGGTAATTTGTGCCTGGAAGACCAGAAAGCATGATAATGGGAAGGGAGGTGATTTTGAGTGCTTCTGTCCAACAGTTCATTGATCTAGTGGTGTGGATTCTGATATGGTGTTTTCAGAGGCACAAGGCTGCCAGCTGCATGTACAGTGCTTTTTGGAAAAAAAAAAAATGGAAAAAAAAAAAAAAAACCTGGTTTGTGACTTGAAAATAATGAAATAATTTTCTTTTTGCTATGAATTTAAGCATTCATTATGGCTTCAATAAAACAGAGTTATCACAGAGTTCTGTGTAATAGTATTAATGAGCCTTGACAAGAAAATGCAATGTAAAGTTGGTCCGGATGGGTGGCTGATTTGCATGTAAGTGACAGTTACATGCAATAATAAGATAATCTTTCACTAGTAATTTTCAGTTAAATTAGTAGCATTTATTAAATTAAAGTTTTAATTATGTAGTTGACTAAGTAGGGATCAGTCTGCAAAACCCTTCAGTTTAAAAGGATCAGATACAAAGAATGAAATTCTTTATCAGTGATTAGTTGGATCACTTGGGATGGCAGCGTATAGACTGACATTGCACTGTAAAACAATAAGAGCTATGGTAGCTTTAAAAGCATATCACTGCTTTTCAAACATTGTCTTGCCTGTGGGCCTGCCCAGTGACCAGTTATGCTGGCTCTTTTTCCATAATACCTTTGTTTGCTGTCATCTTGGCCTTAATCCCACTGGAACCTCAAGTAAATATATTCGGCTTTCCTGAAATATCAGTAGTTGATCCCAAGCCCTCAGAGAACACAGTCATGGCATCCTGCAGGAAAATGATACAGACCTAAAAGAAGCCTTTATTTACATGCTGTGCAGAAGAGTTGCCTTATTGTGCTTAGCTGTGGGAAAGTAAAAGAAGCAGAAACTCACTAAGTGTCCACTCCTCAGCACAGGCAGAGTTTATTTGCAAAAACCTTTTCTGTTTTCCTTTGCCTCCTCAGAACATAGCATGGGCTGTGAACTAAAAATGTTACAGGTCAGAAGACAGTCTTATATGTGGATCAATATCTGATGTTGTGGGATTAAAATACAGGATAATTCTTGGAGTAGAATTCACAAACTTGTACTTTGCTATCTGCAGCTGGCCTTTTGGTCTTGTTTTCTTTCATTGGCTATTACCAACATGAAGTGATTTATTTACCAATCAAGTTGGGCAAGCTGCAGATGAATTTCTAAATACAGAAATGATGTGATCAAAACTGTGCTACAAAGAAACATTTCTTTAAGATTTGTTTTGTCTTTCATACTGAATTTTTGCTCCTGGGGAAACTGTAGGCAGAATAAAAGCACAACATCCTCAAAGTCTCACAGCACATAGTAGCAGATTGCTTATTGGAGCAGAACTGTTATTTGTTCAGTTGTTGTCATGCGTTGTCCCTCTGTTGGGATGCTCAGAGTGAAGGCGTGCTCCCCAGCTTCCTCACAACATGCCAGAAGGTGACAGGGTGTCTGCTGAAGTTGCACAGTCCTCTTTGGATCCCTTTGATATATGTTGCCCAAATGGCCTTTGCAAATCTCCTGCAGGCATGCCTCATTCTACCCGGTACCTGGGTTTTAAAAACAGAAACCTGAAATCTGTTAGGAAGTTCTCTTCCAGGTGTTCAGGATGCCCCCTGTAACAACGGAGTGCTTTGTTGCCTGTTAGAATGATTATGCTCATTGTTGTCACTCGACAGGGTTTAAGACTGAAGTGTGGATTTATTCAAAACAGGCACTTGCAATAATGCAACAATATTACAGAAGATAAAATGCATTAACAGGCTGGACTTAGACTCTCTGTGGCTGCTTTCACATCTTGGTGTATCTCACTCACCTTCCTGTAGGTTAAACTTAGATCTCCTCTCAGATTTCTGGTGTTCAAAGTAGCTGTGCTTCCCTCTTCCAGGGAAAAGCAAAGAGGTGCCTGGATCAAAAGCTATGATCCTTCTTTTAAGCTGCCCTGACCTGAAATGCTCCACTCTCTATTACTTTCCACCTACAAAAGCTACCTCCCTCTTTCCTCCCTATCTTCTCAAGAAGGAGTCATGTCCTTGCCCTATCTTCTAAGGTCTTTGATTACTGTGTCCAGTTCAGGGCTGCTTAGCATACTCAGCTTTTATCAAAATAGCAGGTGTTACAGTCGCAATGTCCGTTTTGTTCCCGCTTCTGGTTGTGATTTTTCATTGGTGATGTACACGATTGAAAAAAAACAATATGAAAAGCAATATCTCATACATATGTCCTGCTTTTCCCCAGAAATCGGTTTTCCCAGTAGCCTAAATACACTGGCATGGACTGAACTGGACCAGGTTAGGTTATTCCTGTTTGCTAAATATGCAAAATTTGCAGCAGTGCCCTTCAGCAGAAGCTGTAATCACTGAAAGACAGATAGAGAACAATTGGCTAAATAATGATATTTTTCCAGAAAATGATCTAAAGATTATTTTGTTTCACAAACAAAATAAGTCGTAATTCCTCCTCTTTGTAAGTCAGTAATTCCTCTAGGGGAGGGAAATTGTATTTCATAACTGGACTTACAGCAGACGGGCAAGATTTAGCATATCTGACACAGATTATATGGCCTTACCTATCATTCATTTCCAAGAAAGACATCATAAATTTGGAGAGAATCCAAAGGAAATCAGGAATGATTAAAAGCCTCAAAAATATGATCTACAATATAAATTTGAAGTAATTTTGGTAATTAAAAGGGAGAAAACTGAAAGGGACTTCAGAAATCCGGATAGCTAATTTCGTTTTGAATTTTAACACTAAGCACTTGGACATTGCAGAGAACTTCCTCATTGAATAACTCTGGGAATAAGCTTTCCTGGGGAGATTGACTTCAATGCTGTAGACTTCTAAAAATATACTAATAGTGAGCCCAGGTAATGTGCTTTAGGGAAACGAAGTAATTAGGTGACCTCTCTAGGTCATCAAATTTTATTATTTTTTTTCCCTCTTGATTTCTTGTTGGTATGAGCATTATTGTGGCACAGGTCATATTTTATCACTGCACTTTCACTAAAACAACTTAGCTAAACATTTTTTTAAAATCTCTCTTTCAAAACTAATGATTACTATGAAGCTAAGATCTCTCTCTTACAATTTCCTTAAACTCAGTATTCTCATCCCTATGAGAATTGTCTGTCAGCTCTCCATGATTTCTGAGATTAGTTTTTTTGTTTTCTCCATAATGGATGGCTTTTCTCTGGAAAAAAAAAAATATTTGTCCTTTCCAAATTCTGAAAGAAAAAACAAAAAAAATTATATCCTGAATTATTACATCTTCAGGTCCATTTTTACTGGAATGTAAAATCTTCCATATGTTTAGAGAGACTTTTGAAAAATTGACAATTGTTATTCAAGACATTTCTTTTTCTTTCTGCAAGTATCATCTAGATGTATACATATGCATATATGTGTCAATGAAGTGTCAATACCATAAAAACATAATTTATTTATATGCAGCTTCACTTTAGATGTTATAATCTAATGAAACATTCAGGACTGTCGGAATTAGAAGTAATTAAGAGTTTGATTTTCAATATTAATATAAACTTTTTTATCTAATCACCAGGAGCTCAAGATTTATGATCGTCTTACTAGCAGAACTACTCTTCCTCCCCAGTAAAGCTTCAAGAATGAAATGAAGGGCATATTGTGAATAAGGTAAGCAAAATGAATGAATCTCTCTCAAACTCCAGTGATCAGAAACCGTTTTATTATATCAAAGACTTATAGTATAATGCATGTCAGAACAGAACATAAATTCACTTGACATAAAATTATACTTTTTAATGAAAACAAGCTACAGATGGATGGAAATTTCTACTGAATGCTCTGTCAATCCTCTGCCATTCTGAGAATAGTTGGCAACAATAAATATGGAGAAAAAGTGAAGATCTTTCTACTCAATTTTACACATCATTTACTCTACCTGTACTGATTTCCTCTTGAAATGGACATTCTCCAATGTCACATGTGGTATTGTGGAAGGAAAAGTTACTCTGAAAGTTGCTGGAGCTGTTCAAAGTGAGCAGCTTTGTTTGTACTGGGCCCACTGGAGCCACCATGTCATTTTCTCTAATATTGCAAGGATATTTGTTTGGTTTGTTTTGTTACCATGAAAATTGACATTATTTAGTTTCTTCCATACTATTTATCACAGGATATGTGGAATTTTTCTGTTTGGTGAAGTAACTCAACAAAGAGACTTAATTTTATTTATGTTTAATAGAGAGAGATTTACTTCACAACAGAATACTCATGACTAATATGGCTTACACAGTGCTGTGGTAGTGAAGTAGGAAGGCAAAATACATGTATTGTACTGCAATGCCAGATAGTTTTTGATGGTATCAGGTACATTTTGTGTGTCTGCTAAATACTGCTTTAGCAGGCAAAAAATCTTCAAACTCTCTCTGGTATAGCTACTAATATGATAGCTACTAATATTAGTTCTGAGAGTGCTTAAGGCATATTCCTAAATTTAATTCTCTATTAACAGTATAGCTATTAATATTGTTCTGTAGGAAGGGAAGACAAAAGTCTGGCTTTCATATGTCAGCATTCTTTTCACAGCTGTAAAATTGTATATGAAATGAGTACTTTCTATTTTTCTCACAGACAGGATAGGCTAAGGACTCAAAAATTTTTAAAGCAGCTAAATACATTTCATTAGTTAAAAAAAAAAATGGACATTTCTGCAATTTTTGTACTGGAATTATTTCCACTTCTAACTGTTTTTGAATCAGTAGTGTTATTTCTGATGACCAAAGTGTCAAAGTATTTTTGTGGAATCTATCTTTGGATACGTACTGTCTGCATTAATGATGTGTTTGAGCATGGTAGTACTTATAGAACTACTTGAAGCTTTTATAAAATGTGGTTTGTACTTCGACTCACTTAATACAATTTTATCTCTTTAAAAGTGCCAGCAATATCAACTTCACATTTATGTCAGTACATGCTTCACAAAATTGTTGAATAGTCTTGTGACTCTGAACTTGAGATTAATCCTCTGCCATGTTTGCCTTTGTGTAAAGACAACTGGGTCAATAATTAATGAAAACAAAATAAAACTGCTACTGACAGGTTGGCTTTGAAAAGCAATCTTTGAGATAAATATAAACTTCAGTATATATCTCACCATTGATTCACATAGTTTTTGTTAATGTCAGAAGATATTTGCTTGAAGCCCTAGAGAATTTCTCAGGCCTTGGGATTTGTCAGGTTGGAAGATGAATTTACATATAACATTTGTTTGAAGCTTTAGAAATCTGAGAAAGATAATACATTCTGTTGAATCTGGTCTATTTTCTGTTTGTGATTAAATTTTCATTTCTGTACAATATGCTTTGGGAGCAGGAGGAGGAAAGCTTTTTATTTTTTTTCGTGTCCCTTTTTAAAATGATAATGCAATTACAATTTAGAAATATATTAGAAAAAAAAAAAAATTGATTGCTGAGTTACTTTACCATTTAATGACCAGCGTATGCTAATAAATCATGACTTAGAATTTAATCACTTCAAAACACTTTGAACATTTTGGGAGCAGAACTGAGTTTAGATGCTCTCTTTGACCAGATCAACTTTTTAGTAGACAATATGCCTTTTGACACAAACCTATCATGGAGGATTTTGGCACTGTTACAATACTCAGTTATTTCATCTTTTCAGCATTTTCTTCCATTTTCCACCTTCCTTGTTTTTTGTCATCTTTTACCCATATGATTTTGCAGGTGAATAACTTTAAAAGCTGGAAATCTTACTCTTCTTGCTTTAGTAAGTTTAAAGTTATCGGTGTTGTGTTTTGGATAGTTCTGTTTTTCCTTCAAACAAAAGCAGAAAATCATATGAAAATTTGATCATACAAATGTTTGCAAACTACTGAATTAATATACTGTGGATAGACTTCAATTCACAGATTACATTTACACATCATATTTACAGCATAGTGCTCCTGGAGAGAAAATACTGCATGATGCCCATCAAATATTATTCATCAATCTGTGTTTGTAATATTTGTCAGCGTCAAGATTTTTTGCTCGATTCATGTTCCTAAGAAAGGAAAAATACAACTGAATTACAGTTTTCCCTTTCATATCAACTTCTACACTGGAATTTGAAGCAGCTTATTCAGTTTTATTAGGGCAGAATTCTCAATGTGCAATTCAACTGATAGAGTGAAACAGAAAATTCAAAGCATGGTCATTTCTGTGACTTTACAAAAATCTACCATGAACTAGGAATGCATTAACCAAGCACTCAAATTTTGACTGCATTGTAATTTATGCCAATAGAAGGTCTGCATTAGCATCAGTGAGCTACTGCTAAGTGCTAAGGTCAGTTGTGCATTTCATACTTCAGCTGCAAAGGAGGAATTTTATTGCTTTTCATAGTCATGGTACAGTGGAAAAGGTGCTTTATGATGCCACAGACAATTAATTGAGGTACATTACCTAGAAACCAAAAAGGTCACACATGGAACATAATTGACACCTCATAACCCCTATTAATGATTACAGAAATGCAAATTAGTACTTTTCATTTTCCACTCAGCAGCATAACTCTTCTCTAGCTTTGAATTATATTTCCACTTGCTTACAATCTTTACTCTATAAAATGTTCAATTTACTTTTTTGGAAAATAACATCAGTCTACATTAAAAATTATATACTGAACAAATTGCACTATTCCTAAAAAGTCTATTAAACTGAAATTATATTTCTATGTAATAGGCACAGAGTAAGAACAAGAACTGATACAAATATATGAATAACACATTTCTTGATGCTTCAGTAATCCCCATTAAGGCTATGTGTACTTTGTTTCATGGGATTTCAGAGAAATGCTTGCTTTTACTTGTAAAGAGAAATTTGAAAATCTACCAGAATTTCATACATGATGAAAAAACATAGGTTTATTTAAAAGCTTTTGTGACTCTGTTGTGGTTGTTCAGTACAAAAGGAGAAATCATACAACAGAAAAAATGTGAAGGCATTCAATTAAGCTTTCTGTCCAGTTTTGCACACCCACTCAAAGTTAGTCAGATGCTATTGATTTTACTGTGATGTTACAGCTTACTAGTACTTTCTGGTGCTTGCATTCTAATCTGCAGCATCATAGCATGACATCACTGAACTGTGAGTTCTCCTTTCTTTGTAGTCTATAATGTGTTCAATAATGAACATGATCAAAGGCATATTCAGTGGAGTGTGAAAATTCTTTAAAATAGAACTATTTATTTTCTCTCTTGACATAGATTCATCTGAAGCACAGATTCTCTGCAGATCCTCTGCAGCTTCCTCTGCTCAGTCAAAGACTGTGAAGGAGTAAGATAAGAGTCTTTTGTATTCACCTCTGAACCAGGAGCCATAGCTCCTCACTACCCTGAGAAGCTTCCAGGTATGCTCGAATTTAGATGCCAGAACTTCTCAGTCTTAATATCTGCTATGCTTTACAAATATGCCCAGAAGACAGTAAGTGTTACACGAATGTTTAAAAAAAAAAAAAAAAAAACACCAAAGGAAACAAAAAAACCTTTCAAGACCAATAATTAATGGAAAACTTTGAGTCATAGGTTCTCAAATATACCTAACTTTGAAATTAGTTCTGAATCCTCAGCAGCACGGACATGCAACACAGGTTTTTTGGTATGTATTTCAGTGAGGATGGTCAAGCACTGCAGTGAGCAGCCCAGAGCGCCCATGTGGTCCCAACCCCTCTCCACAGGGAGACATCCAGAATGTGCACAGCAGCCAGCTCCAGATTAACCCTTCTGTGAGCAGCACAGCAACCTCCAGAGGTCAATTCCCATCTCAGCAGATTTGTGATTCCCCTCTCCGTGTTCCTGGACATCCTGAGTAGGACACAAATACCATCTTCATTTCTTTAATTGCTTATACAAATCTGTATCTGCCTCTAGATGTTGTTAGCTAACAAGTTAAGGTTTCGTATGTCTGGGGCCATCTTTGTCTACCTTGTGTCCTGGTGTCTTTCACAGAGAGAATAGGTTTGGCTCCTGTTCTCTGGCATGTCTTTGTTCTCAGACATCATCTCACTGATGTCATTAGGCTGCAGCAGATCTTAATGTAGTCCCCAAGCACCTTCTTTATGGGCCATGTAGGCTCTGCAGATGTAGTAAAACAAATGTAAAGACCAATGTGGCCTTTCTTGAACTTTCTCAATTTTTCCCAAGAGCATCTGAGGACTGATCATCCACATCCAGCTATCCCTGCTGATCTACACTATCAGTAATTACAGGCTGTGCATTAGAGGCCCCCCCACAATTACTCAAAGAATTCAAAAAGACAAGAAGTTTTTCAGTACTGCTTATGTCAGTATCCTGAAGCACAATTTAATCTTCCCAAGCAGTGGTTTGCCAGTCTCACACATGGTATGTACTCTGTGCTCTACAGAGGCTTGTACCAAGTCTTCAGCAGTTTTGAGCTGACACAGAAACTCTGGGCCTGGGTGGTGGTGAGAACCAACAGTGGTGAGAATCTCCCTAATTGTTACTCTAAAGATAATCTTTAGCAGTATCTAACCTTTTCATTTATTTTTTTTTTCCATCTTGCAAATGTGTTTAAGACGATTTATTCATTTGCTTTTTTCAGACAACTAGTACATTAATTTATAAAGTCGTTTGATTGAAGATTTTTTACTAATGTCTAAAGTGCAAAGTTGTGCCGGAACAAACTTATTGTTTGGAACTAAAGTTACATTTCTATTTAGCAGTTTAAAGCTGGTGGCCATCTTATAACAAAGGTTTTAGCCTTCCTTAGTAGCTTTCTGTCATTTTATAATACAGTCTGAACACTGAAGATAAATGGTGAAGAGCCCTCACCTCAGTTGTTAGTAAATAGCGCAGAACACCAACATGGCTCATTTCCTATTTGATTCATTGTGTTGGTTTTCTCCTTATTTAGAAGTCGTGAAAACATCTCCTTTTATCTCTTCCTCCTGTTTAAGACCATAAAGGCTGTATTGTTTCTACTGCACAATGTAATAGTGTAGTGGTGATTAAGGCAATTAAAACTTTCCATAGAAGGATTAGAGTTGGTTGCAAAATCCTGAAGTTCTGAATGTCTCCTGATACTCATCTTTTTTTTTTTTTTTCTTTTCAAAATGAAAGGCTACTGAAATGCAGTGGATAATTCCCACTCATAATAAGTACATAAGGAAAAAATAAATAAAAATCTAGCAGGCTTAAAATCGTAGCTCAGTGTCATAGTAATGCTTTTCCTATTAACGAATAAACGAAAAGTAATTTCATTACTAAATGTGCCGAAGATTTGGAGACAAGATGAATTTAGACAGCTGATATATCGGTATCCAGTTACTGGAAATCTGTCCTGATTAATTCATTTACACTGAAAATCAAAAGTTAGGCATTTCAATATCCTGATTAGCATATCAAGGCTTTAATATGTTATCTTTCCAACTAAGTGTCTTTCCTACCTCAGTGTTTTAAGTAAATGGTCACGCTTTTCCACCTCTGAATAGGAATCCACTGCAAAATTACCATGCAGAGACAGTATTTCCCTTTTACAAAAGGGGCCATATGGTTTTTTTTTCAGTAATACAATTTCCTGCTGTTATATCTGTTACTATTGAGACACATAACAAGCTTTAAACTTTTTAAAAACATGGAAGTAATGGATGTGCTGTCAGCAATATGATCTTTGTTTCCTTCATTTTAAATTCTGTTTCAGATTTTTTTTCAGGAAGTCAGTTTTCTAAATAATCCAAACCTGTTTCTCTTTTGTCCAAAAAAGAATGTAGTTTGTTCCTCCCTCTTCGTTTATGCTATCAGTCTGCTGTTTGTGATATTTTTATCAAGTTGAAATGAAATTACCCATATTGTAATTCAATACCATATTTAAAAATTGATTTGCCTTGTAAAAATAGCTTGGAGTGCTTATGCTGGCTAGACTGTGTGACTTTCTGAGATCTCACCTATGAGAGACTAAAAAACATTTGTCTGTACCCAATTACAAGAGTCTTGTGCATGCCATTAAACAGAAATGGAATGCCAGGAGTTTGTAGGGAGTTTTAAAGATACAATGTTTAATGCAATACAAAATTTTCCCAAGATGAAATGTAAACACATTCCAGTGAGGTCATTCATTCACAAGGTTTACAGCATATATTAGATGAGTTCTTGCTTTTATTGAATAGTTCAGGTCATAGAATTCATTGTCTCAGTTTGAATGATTATTATTCTAGTATTGGTTAATTGAGGCTTAGAAGTCAAAAGGCATGTCATGCATTTGTGTTGGTTGGTTCTTCTCAGATAACTTGCTTGCTTGTTCTTGTTTGATCCCTGTTTGTTTTCCACAGTGAGGGACTGCATTTCACATTTCTGTCCTGTAATCAGTCACGATTTCAAATGCTTCTAATCTTAATTTAGGTGCTCACTTTTAAATTAAGATTTGGAGATTCATTGTACTGGAAGATCTGATGTGAAACTGCATAAGGAGCTTGTGCTGTTGTACTCAAATCCTTTCTTCCCCTGCGTATATGTTGATATACAGAGTGGCATGATAGCTCAGTCACTCTTCAGTGTAAATATAAATTACATTACCATGAGCTGAAAATCTGAAAGCCTTTTCTTATTCCATTTTTTAATTTGACTATCCCCACTGGTTTGGTCTATTAATACAGGTAAAAATGAGGGTAACTGGTGTTATAAGAGGTAATGCACTTTTAATTTCTAGTACGGCTGGCTGGCTTCCCATGGAAACTGAAGGAAGGAACTTTCTGAAATCAAACAAAATATCAGAATACAAAGAAACTAACTTTTTAAAAAATATGGAAAATGAGTATCTACTATATCTTTAGCATTTGAAAACCAAGAAGAAATAAATTAGTTACACACTCATGTCAGCAGCTTATTTATAATTACCAAACAATATCCAAGCACATCTCTATACAATTGTTTATACCCCTACAACTGTCCTCCAATGACATTTAGGGCTGAGACTCCTCTAGAACATCTTGTGTCCAACTAAAACATTTGACTGATAGCACTTTTAGAGTCAGAGACAATAATTTCATTCCAGATTAACTTTTTATCTTTAAAGCATCTTCTATTGGTCAAAGTTGGATATAAGATACTGTGGAATTCATAATGAATTCTTCACTTGCCCATCTGTTTACTTTAATGCCATTCTGTCAAACATTTTGAGATGATACGAACATGTACTAGGTGTGGAAAGAAAAAAGTGGGTTGCCTATGAGAAAAAGTAAGCGATCAAACCACATGAAGACATTTCAAGATTGTTTTCTTGGGAAGATTAAAATATATATATAAATAAATTATGGGACTATAAACCTTTCAAGATGGTGGCAATTATTCAATCAGTTTCCAAACGATATCACTGAAATAAGTGCAGCAAAAGTTTACTTTCATCTCTAGCTACAGTGCATTTATGACAAGAAGCAAACATGTGTAGTGAAACTCACATTATATCTGCTGCTTGAGGGCTGAACAAACTTGACAGTCCTAAGAGAATTATAAGTACTTTATGATGACAACCTAGTGAAGAAAAAAATGACTTGACTGCGAACAAAAGACAACAAATACAAGGCAGCTAGCAGACAAAGTATATGTAAAGTGAAATTCACAGAGGATGAGCCTGGTGCTTAAAAGTAAAGAGAATCTATCACTTCGGGGGTTTTGTTGAGGTTTGTTAGCTGAGTATCAGTTAAGGTCCTTAAATCTTTGGTTGCTAAACCAAGTAACAGCTTCTTAGTATTTAATAACCACAGTTTTTAACTTTTCTTATTTCTGCATGCCAAATAATTGAAATATGACTCTATATAAATGTGCAAACAATTTTTATATTTAAGATGCCAAATATAGACGGAAACAAATTCCAAATGCCACACTGCTTTCTGTTCTCACTCAGTTGGTAGAAAGTAAACAGGAAAAAGGTCTATAATGAATATTTTTGAATATTTTTCAACTGCTTCCGCTCTGCTTCATGGTCCTTTACTTCAGAGTAGCAAATCGTCAAATTAGATTTCATATTGTGTTTTAAAGACGAAATGGATTTTGAGAGGTTCCTCGTTTTTTCTAATTTATTCCTTTGAGTTTTCTTTTTGCTTTCTTTTTCCTACTCTTCAATGTCTGTTTTGGTTCCTGACCTATTCTCTCCAATCTTTCTCATTTTTGTAGAATATTGTTAATGAAGTGTGTACAATGTTTCTTGGGAAAAAATCACGCCACAATGATTTCTCTTTATTTTTAAAGTGTGTTTGATTCCATCTACCAGCTGCAGGCCCCTTTTTCACAAAAGAATCTGATTACCAAGTGTGATTAAAATGCATTTTTCTTTATATGGGGAACAATTTCTCCCAACTGTGAATCTGACAAGCACATATTTTTCTGAGTATCAGTGTAATACTTGAAGTTGTAAAGACACAATCATCACAAGACTTTTTGTTTACTATTGTTCAATACAAACTGTGTAGAGTGAAAGAAACTAATGAGGTCTTTGATAATCAATTCTTGTCAGAAATGTCGTCGACAGAATATGGTTTTTCAATTATGATCAGTTGTTTGGAAACTATACACACACTCAGTGTTCTGTTTTTGGAGGGTTTTTGTTGTTGTTGTTGTTTTTTAAATTTAAAAATGCTGATTTTATCTTTATTTTAAGAAAGATAAAGATACATTTGAATGCCTGCAATGTAAACTATTCCCCCTTGGACAACTTTACTGACAATTGGCCTTTTATCTTGCACATTGTTATGTGAAAGTCCCATCGCATAACTATTGAGCTAAATCTTTGACAGCAAGCTCAAAGGTAGGAAAGCCAGGCAGTTTGCATGTAGGGGCCAGGGGATTTAAAGGCAGGCTGTTTGTTTTTAGGGAGCTGGTGAGAATAGAAGAGCAGATAATGGGTAGAATAGCCTAACCATTCTCTAGAGAAATGATGCTTCCAAATTTTGGAAGAAGTTGGAAGGCTTCTGGTTGGTTGGTGATGAGAAGGAGGGAAAGACAGATTGTTGATGTAGCTGCTCGTGTATATTGGCTCTGCTTTCTATAAGGGCTGAGTTGGAGGATGTGCAGCTTGGGAAGCTGAGGCATCAAATCCACCTGGATTTGTCTCTCCTTTTATCTCTACTGCTTATACCTCTGAAAGTCAAGCCTCCAAAATCAAGAACCTTTGTGTGTGTGTGTGTGTGGGGGGGGGGGGGGGGGTTCCTAAAAATGGAGAAGCATACTAGAAAACTTTTGCAATATAATAGTGGTATTTATTAGAATATTATTATGTTTATGGTATTTTTACTTGCCTAGATAGAGCAGGGTCAGAAATCCCTGAGCTCAGAATAACGCTGAGATAAGACGACTGGTCAGTAATGAACAGTTATCCTTTCGATTTAAGGATGGCACAGTAAAGGGAATTTTTTGAGTGCTGGTATACTTAGCATTCCCAATCATAAAGAATTATATTTTCCTCATTCCAAATTTCTGTTGTATTTGGAGCTGTTTTGGGTGCAATCATATGAAGCTGACTGTAAACTGAAAAACAATTCATAAACTGCATTTTTTCACGTTGTGCGTGCAGAACCTTTCTGAACTCTCGTGAGCCTTCGCAACTGAAGAAGCGGTTTGCATGATTTGTGCTCAGCAAGCCAAACAAATGCAAAGCGAGCAAAACCACAGCCGCTGTCTGAATGCGCCACGCCGCGGGACGGGCACGAGGCTGCGGGATCCTTCGGGAAGCCGCTTCGCTGTAACTTTGGTTTGAGAACTGCTCTTACGAGGTCAGCAGTCAGTGTGCGTGTGGTGGAAGTGCGGGGATGGCGAACACGCTCTCGGGAGCGTGGAATAGGGAAGAGTTTACTTAAATGCAACGGATAAACGCCACCACAAGGGAGCTTCAGTCTCTCGGTAGGCGGCGTGGCCCGCTAAAAGTTATCGCATCGCGCCATCTCCTGAGCAAGCCCTGCACTGCAGCCCGGTAAGCCTAACCGGGATCACGGGGCGGAGCTCCGCGCTCAGCGCTCGCTCTGCGCGCCCTGGGCCTTGTGGTATCCGAGCTGCCGGCACGGAAGGCTCGGGTTGTTAGCGGGGCTGTGTAACTGCTCGTGTCTTCCACACTGTGTCAGGAAAATGTAAGGAAACTTGCAGCAAGAAAACCCTATGTACAGAACGAAGTGGGCGTCACCTTGGTGGGACGATCCCACCTTACTGCACAGACTGCCGGAACGCTGGCATAGGTCTGATGCATTTTTGGATGTGGGCTATTTGATCTCTATTTTCTGCAGTTCTGAGGCATCTAACACCGATCAGAATGTGATTTAGGGATACTGTTTTATGCAGAAATTAATTTTTTTTTCCCCTATGATATTTTTCTTCATATTTTCTGCATTGCAAAACGCTTTCCTGGCTGCATATTTGTCAGTACATCACAAGGGTATTGCAATGCTTTTCTAATAATCTGTTTTGCAGTTGAATAGAGAGATGCTTATGATGCTTTAAAGGTTAAAAATGATGTGGCCAGAGGGGAGCAGTTCTATGAGTGTACGTGAAGGGACCAAAACAAGAAAACATAAAAGGAGTTTACCCCAGACAGTTTCAAGTACATAACAACTGCAAACAATGCAGATAGGGAACTGTAGAGTTCAGAAGAAAGGTAAATTTTCAAAAGAGAAGAGAAAACCGCAATGTTTAGTATGTTGTTTTGATAATATTTGTATGTATCATCCATATAGTTGTTGTGAAGGGTGCTTCATTCTCAAAGGGAGGAGCTTTATTATTCCATCTAGCTACCGAGCTGTTTGGTTTGTTTGCTTGTTTAATTTTCTGTATGCTTTTTACACCTACGTCTAACAAAAAAGAAAATACTTTTACACTGAGACACATGCTTGAGGACATGTTCTTTAGTGGGTACGAGCTGTGCCCTTTGAAAAAGCTGCACACAGCCCCCAGCCCATCAGCATTGCTGGTCCCCTGTGCAGCCTGTCCCACTCCCTGGCCTCACTCACCAAAGAGTTTTCAGTAAGTTTGAGCACCAGAAATTTCCTAACCTGGGCCATTTTTATGGGTTTGAGAGACTGCCTCTCCAATAAATCAGGGAATGCTGCCTAATTGCTGCCAAGAGAAGGTCTGACCAAGAGCAAATGTAAGAAAATGGAAGAAATCTTCCTTGAAAGCCAAAATCCTTACACAGATGATAACTTGGTTTTCTATTCAATCTCACACAGTCTTGGCAGAAATTATTCTAGTTTCCACATCCCATCCTGCAACTCTTTGTGATTTTCAGGATGAAGAGAAATGTGGTGCTAACCTTTATTTTCCTACCAATTCCTTTATATGGAGACGTTTTTTGGACAGTGAGTTTGACCACAACAGATTCATTTCCTTGCAGAAATGGAAGGGAAGTGGAAGTGCCTTCTTTTTAGACTACCTTCTGAAATAAATGTGGGCATGTTTTCACATAGCTTTTCTATTATTAAAAAAAAAAAAAAAGAACACCTTATGTGCTTAAAGTGACACACTCAGTAGATCATTTCTCAATAATTCTCTGAGTTATCCTCCAGTTATTGCTTAGGTATTTTTCTTTCTTGGTCTTACACAGCTGGCTCATGCAAATGTTGATGTTGTGACCTTAGTGCAGTCCTCCTCTCTACACTCCATAAACATGATTATAAATGTACAAGAAGAAGAAAATTTTCATTCCTCTAGCTTACGTAGGATTGTGATGGAGAAAAAGAGGCCCTTGAGGATATGGCTGTGAGGAGGGTGAATAATGCTTAATGACTGTGTGTGAACAATGCTGTGGAGTTGTGCTGAAAAGAGGGAAAGGTTCAACATAGCATTTTGTTGTCAGCTTCCTTTGACAAGGGATGAAGTTAACAGAGGACTTGAAGATAAAAAGAATATAGCTTTACTGTGAAAAAAAGGAGTACTTGATCTTTTTAAGGGACAGGGACAGTGAAGGTTCTCTGTTCCAATAAAATTCTCCCCTTTTTGTCTCTCCAGTAAGATGAGATAGGGAAGTAAGAGGTGAGGCTCAAATACTCCCTGCAGTTATTCTTAGCATACGACCAATTAGAAATACTAAGTCCATGGTGGCTATTGCAAAAGTTCAGTTTAATCCCTCCAGAAATTAATTCTAATCAATAAAATGAAATCTCCTCATGGGAAGATGTGCCTGCAGCTGTCAGGGTAACTAGTAAGCAAAGATGTTAACAAAACTGTCACAGCTCCTCATGTTTGGAGAAGCAGAGGAAATGTGCAGGGATGACACCTCATCTCTAATGCTCCCTCTCACCTAATAATGTCTAGATGTCTCCAAATTCATTCCAGTTTGTTTTTCTTCTGTCTTCCTGTTAGGGTTTCCAATTTCCTTTTGCTAGCTGCTAGCTTCCTTTCTCATGACTTTCCACTGCTGTACAAATATTGTGGAAGAAAACAAACTTTAGTCCCAAAAGTGCTGCAGAACTGCTTTCTCTGGAAAGTTCATGGTCCAGTTTTATTGCCTTAATTCAAATATGTGTTCAAAGTTTATTTTTGTTTTCTACCACTTCCAATTTTAAGGTCATGATAATCCTTGTCATCATTTCTCATAAATTGGCTGTTCTACATTCACCTGTTGTGCACAAGTCTATGTGGAATCATTAGTTACAAAATCCAAGTAGTCAAACAACTTCACAAGCTGCCTGTGGTAGTGGTGGCTAGTTTTGACTTGAAGAAAGAAAGGAGAAAAATAACCAAAACAACAGCAATAAACAACAGAAGCCCCCAAACTTCTAGCAGTTAAATCTTGTGAAATTGAAGGTAAATCATAATTTCTGTGGAGCAGGTGCAGTGAGGAGAATTAAGCAGAATCATATTCTTTTGGACCGTGAAACTTGATACTTCTCTTTTCTATTCTTGAGCCGTACAATAAAAAGGCAAGGCTGTTAAAACATCATTAAGTTTTCTTAGCAGAGAAAGTTACGTTTATTTTTTTGTAGCATGCTTCATATAAACATAATTTTAATATCTAAAGTTAAAAATGTTTTTGTCTTTTTATAAATACACTTACGAGATTTCCTTTTTAGAAGGGTTCAATATGATAAATACTATATATTTGTTAAAATACCATATTGCTGAATTCTGAAAAGACATTCCATCAGGAAAGTTAATCACATAGTTATGTCTTCAGGGAGATTTCATGTCTGTTCTGAATTTTCTAATGCTGACAAAACAACAATATAACAAACACTAAAATAGATACTGCCCAAATAGTGTGCTTTACAACATAGAATATCTTACATACATTCTTCTTCTAAAATACACTTAAAGCATTTGAAATTATCAAAAATGAAATTACTGAAGAAAAATCAAAACTTCATTACAAATTGGCACACAAAAAGAAAACCTCATGCATGTAAATATTCATTTATCATCTCAAAACATGAACATGCTTGTATCAGTGGTATAGATTGTTGCACAGTGCATGTGATTTTCTACTGTACATGTCAAAGCTGGTAATCTTCAGCTGAGATCAAAGATCGTCATATCAATATGATATAAAAATTTCATTTTGTAAGTTATATTCAATGAATGCAATTATATGAGATATATATATATTTTTTTAATTTAGTGCATGGTGATTATTCCATGAATAGCCAAGTAAGTTTAACATAATACTAACAGATGGTTAGTGGGCAAAGACAAATCCACCAATAACCTGACACACTGGTTGGAATTAAAATATCACATACAGCTGCACTGTGAAAGTGATTAGAAATTATATTAGTATTGTTTTGGCAAATGAGATTTTCCTGTTGGCACGTACTTACAAAAACAAAGATATTTTGGCCCTACTCAGTCTTGTACAATTCAGTTGAACATACTGCTAAAAATGGGTATTTTTTCTCCTTACTATTGAATAGCAAAGACATTCTGTGCTTCTCTTTGATTTATTACATAATTATTTTAAAGTTAATTTAGTAATCTAACTTCTGAATCTAGAATTGAAGTTTCATTTGCAGAGAATATTCCGTTGCCAAATACATTTGAGGTCCACTATTTCCTTCTGTACAGTTTTCTTTTGAAGGTATTTCTCTTTTATTCGTTTTTGTTTATTTAAAATACAAAATCTCTTTTTATAAACATTAGCATTACCGCTAACATAAAAAAGAAGGTTTATGAACTCTTATATATCCATTTATCACCTTACTACTGCATTTTATAAATTTCTGTAACAAACCTGAACCATTTAAACATATCATCTGATTTTTACGTATTAGGCATTACAAAATAATTCACTTTTTCAAAATTATCTGGATTTTGCAATGCAGGAAGACTCCAGTCTTGTGCTCTAATAACATTATGGTCCCAAGATAATTATTCTCTATGATGAAGGACTGTTACGACGTTATGGACTGTACTGCCTTCTAGAAGTGTTTCTTCTCTCACTCAGTTTTCATGAAACCCCACTCACAGATTGGTTTCACAGTATGTATAGACATCATGGCAACTTCACAACAACAACGCATGCTCCAGCCCTTCCAATATTGACAGGAACTTCCTTAAAAACAAAAGGAAAGTGAAAAAGGACAAAACACTTTTAGTAGACTTTTATGGACAGGACTAGATAAGTTACTTATAGTTTAAAAGGAAAGCAGTTTGTTTATTCACACTAATGTACCACTCAAAAAATAGATTTAACTAGAACTGTGAAAACAGCCTGAGGTTTTTTTAAAAAAGTGTTTTGCAGCTGCTGAGGACTATTGGGGAGTAGGTTGGTGGTGTTGCTTTTAGTTATTGTAAAAAACTTGCATATCCTTTTATCCAAAACCATATCCTTTTGTAGCTACAAAAGAATCTTGACAGTTTTAATGCTTTCTTATGGTCTCAATGTTGATAGTGTTTAACGTGAAAAGTTGCAAGTGCCCTCCGGTAGAGGGCATTGCTGACAAGGGCACTGCAGTTCTAATGTTTGGTAAAGAAGCACTCCCAGTTAAATAAATACTTCTTAATTACCATTATTTCATCTTAACATATATCATTTTTCACAAAACCATTTTGCAATGTAATCATTTTTGCTTTTCCTATTCAGGTTAGGTCTTGCTATTTTTAATTACCTCTGTCCACTCGTTATTTTGAGCATCATAAGACTCCACAGTATCCAGGTATGTATGGCCATCATAGCCACCAACAGCATATAGTCTGTCCCCCAGAGGGCAAATTCCAACAGCATCCCGGGGTACACTCAATGGAGCCACTGTTGTCCAAGTGTCTGTTTTAGGGTCATACCTGAAATGTTTTATGATCAAAATTAGAAAAATACATTGTAGAAACACATTGATATTTCAGATTTTGAAAGCTGATGCTTACTTCTTTTCCCCTATATTGGAGTTTAGTTTATGTTATGAACTGGAATAGAGAATCATGAGGAAAAAAATTAAATTCTTTACTTAGCCACTAGAGGGATCTTCAACCCTTATTTTCACTTCGTGTGATAAAGTATACATTTCTATCAGATTAACAATCAGTGTATTCTGAACATAGATGAAGCCTGAGGGAATGATACAACGGCAGCAATTGAGTCAGAAAAGTTCATTTCAGTGCATTTTTTTCTTCCTTTGTAAAGATTTTTGTTTTCTATTTCTCCTCATTGACATTTGCAGAAACGTTTCACCACAAAAATCTCACAAAGTTAATCTCATAACTCAAAAACTGAAGCAAAGGTTGTATCTCATGTAGTTTTTATCATGTTGGTCAATATGAGCCAAACTGTTGGAGGAAGAGGCAATTGAAAAGTTTTTTTCCTAAGTTTTTTAACTTAAAACTTTTTAAGTTTTGTTCCTATGGTAAATGAGAGATGTAGCCCAAAGCTGGATTTTGGCACCTGAGAAATACAAATTCCCATGTTAAGTTCATTGTACTGCTGAGTTGTCTTAACCTCAGTCAGTTCCAATAGATGTGAGAACACGTTGAAATTTTCACGGGGCAGTTGCTTTGTTAGCACAAAATCATTGCAAATCAGTTCTTATGCTCAAAAGTATTATTCTACAAAGCATAATATGTTATACAAAGATAATGTTCCAATTCTGAAGAGATTTCCCTTGCTGCATTTTTGTATTTCCTGAAGTGTTCAGAAAAGAAAAATGTCCTTACCTTTCTACACAGTCGGAAAGTCGAGAACAGTGGTTGGAAGCAGGTGCATCATGACCTCCCACAGCATATAAAAACCCATTGTATGTTGCAACACCAACACCACCTCTTCTCTTCGACATTGAAGCACATAGGCTCCACTTGTTTGTATGTGGATCAAAACATTCCATTGATTTTAAGCAGGAGCTCCCATCTCGTCCACCAACTGCATATAGTCTGTGATAATTACCACAGGAAAACAATTTCAGTCCTTTTAATAAGAATATTTTATTAACTTCATTCAGACCACTTTAAAATTCCCAGTATGCCTAATATTTGCTCTCTGACCACTTTGCTCTAGAACTTTCTCTGCACAATGGGTTTCTCATGCTGTATTTTCTTCATTTTATAATGCAGCTTCAAGCAGTCACATAAAAAAATTAAGATTAAAAGTCTATATCATCTTCTCTAAATGTTAAGCCATAGGTGAAATTTATGAGAAGTACTACATATGTTTGTAACACAGTTGGAATATTTTCTTTGTCAGTCTTATGAGATATTTGACATTAAGCAATTTTCCTATACCATGAATATGTAATTAAAACTTCAATGCTATCATTATGTTTCAAAAACTTACAATGTAAGTATATTAAGTATATTTTCCTCAGTGTTTGTATTTAAAAAAATCTTTAGGACAGAATTTACCTTACTGAAAGGTCTCCTCGTCTTTTCTGCATTAAAGGCACTTAGCAAACTACTGGAGATTCAGTCTAGCTCTTGTTGAAACAAAATATGATAACATATACAGGGGAGTGGTGGAAATCCTCATTAAGAAGCACTTTGTGTCTCTTTGTCAGTCAATTTTACAAAGTCTGAATCTCTTTTGTATTTCTAGCTAGCTTTGGTGCTGCTAGACTGTGATAGTATACATAGTGGGTGTAATAGATGCGTTCGGATGTCGACTGTGCCAGCTGTTCAGATCCTTTTTCCACTCTGGCCATCACGTACTGCTATGAAATAGAGGTTTTTTTAGTGCAACTAATTAGAGACCTAGGGAACACCTCAGCTTGTCCAGAGCGAGTCACCCAAATCCAGTTAGTTGAATTTTGCTTAAGATGTACTTGTCTTTCTCCAGTGACTGGGATAACTTTTAGACTGCTCTGATGTATGATTTCCAAAAGAACAATCTTGACTTCTAGAGCAATACAAAAATTTTAGTTCTATCTTCTAATGTTTGTGAGTTGAACACAGGCTTGAGTCCTGTTGTGCAGTTTGTTGCTTGGCCCATAAAAATCTTGAGAATGGGATTTGTTTTCTTTTCATATCTTACCCTTAGATACAGACTACTTGTTTACACAGCTTTCACAGAGAGAGGAAATCACTGACTTTGCGAACAGATTGGTTTTTTTTTTTTCCCTAGAAAACCCAGAATCATCTAAAGATCTTTAAAAAATCTTGTTTCATTCCCTGAGGAAAAATCACATATTCCTTTATTGACCGATGTTTTCAGTAAACCTTTTATTGTTCAGAAATGTTGCCCCACTGAAACTGTATGTTTTCTGGTGGGATTGAATAGAAGAAAATACATCATGCCTTAGGGAAACAGAAAGAAGAGAAGCATTTTGCTCAGCTGGACTGCAGCAGTACACTGAATGATGGACGTTTGAGTTTGGCTTCCCCTGCTATGCCAGTGATTACATCACTGAGCTAACAGACGTGATTTAAGCCAGGCAGGAGACAGGGTATATCGGCAGTGACTGAGAACAGAGTCGGGATTGGGCTGGATTTCCTCTCTGACAAAGTAGTTTCCTGCACATCTCTGTGAAAGGCACCCACAGGAATTTCTAGTGAAGCTTATGTTGAGAGCATTTCCTTTGGGATAAAACAGGGACTTGGACAGACAGTTCTGCTCCTCTCAGATTTTTGAGTAAATGTTTAAAATCTTGTCATGTTCTATTGCAAAAGCTTGGTTTTTGTATATGAAGAAGATGTATGTTTGCAAATATCTGATATCTTTATTTCTATCTATATGCTTCTCTTTCATAAATTACTGGAATTTAAGAAGTGAGCAGGAAAGCCATTGATAAGGTTACAGGATAAATACAAATTTCTGCATGCAACTGTTCTGGGCCCCTACAAACTCTGCACTAAGAGGCTGTCTATCTCAGATTGCAGTAAAGGGGAGTATTGGCTCAAGCTACACTTCTCAGTGTAACCTGACGTTTTCTACCAGGCTTTCCAATTTCTTTGCTGAAGAGGGGGAAGTTATTTCAAATGGTGCTCTTTGGATCTACTGATTTCAAAATGCAAACATAAATTTGGATTTTTTTTAAGGTATTTGATCAATAGTCCAGGTAAAATTCTGATTTTCAAATTGCCTTAAGTTGAAAAACGTGTAAAACATGTCTGCAATTTAGAAAATAGTTTAATACATATAGAGGGAAAGCTTTTCTTTCTTATTTTTGCGCATTACATTTTCTCTTTGTTTTCTTGTGGTGATTAATTACTATGAGGTTGAAAATATAAGAAACTGCATTTCCACGGAAGGAAGTAAATGAAAAAGCAAAGATTTTTTCCTGTTGACATACTTGCTATTTAATGCTGCAACCCCTACAGTGCTTCGGGGGGTGGACATGCTAGCAACATAATTCCATTGCCGGGCTTGAGGGTCCCATCTTTCTACGGTGTTCAAGTAACTCCACCCATCATGGCCACCAACAGCATACATTGGTCCTTCCAGCATTGCTACTCCTTAAAGAATAGAATTAGGGACAGATTACTGTATCTAATAATTTCAGTGACTTATAAAGTATTAACTTCTCGCTTTAATTGCTTGTATACAGATAAGCAATTTCAGCTGGTATTAAGCTATCTAAAAGCTGCCTTGTCATTAAGAAGAAACAAAGATAAACAAAGATAAACAAAATATTTTGTATACTTTCAGAATATGCATTATCTTTTCCATAAAGATCAGAAGAAAGCTGATAGTTTTGATGTTTTGATGTTTTCTTCTTGGAATTTTTCTCCCAGTTCTGTTGACCTTGTTCTGAATCAAATCTGCACCCCTACATGAGAAACAATGATATTCTTTCAAAAAAAAACAAAACCAAAAAACATTGAGCCTGACAATGAAAAAATTGTCCAGAGCAACCAACTACCTGTCCCTTCTTCTGAGTAAGCTGAAGCTCTGTAGTCCCACCAGCATGAAGCCAAAATGGATGACAGCTGGCTGGCCTCATTGCCTGTACTGTACTGTAACCTTCTGGTGCCTGGTGAGTGGAAATAAGAGCTGGCTTGTCTGTGTTGTCCTTGAGGCACAGGAGAGTGAACTTGGCTGTCTGTTCAAAGCTCTCTGTGAACACATCCTGTGTTATTTACCATCCTCAGCAAGAGGTGCCTCTCCCCTTTGGGGAGCTGCTCCTGTCACTGATCTTTGCTCCCTTTTAGGTAAAGCAAGATGTTGGGATTTGGCTGCTTAAAAGTTTTCTAAATCTATCTTTTCAGGTCTAAATATACATGGCCTAATTTTTTTTTTTTTTCAAATGTGCTTAACTCTCCACAAAATCACATTGAAACTAATGGGAGCTGTAAGTGGCTGATACATAGACAGAAGCCTAACTCTGTGCACTCAAGACTTCACTACTTCAATCCAGTTGTTGGCTAGAATCATGCCCCTACATAGAGACTTCCTTCATTCTGTTTTGCCTTCTTGTCCTTTGCTTCTTACTATTATTTGTTTTTCAGAAGCCATATTCCGTCCCACGGTCTCATTGTTAAACTTATTTTTTATTGTTGCAGAAGTATACTCTAGATTTTTTATTAGTTCACCATGAATATTAGGATTACTGGGCAGTAAAGGCCATAGATGATGGACTATGGTTGTGCACTCTAAAACTTGTAATTTCAACATTAAAATTAGTGAAGTTGTACTAATTTTGTAACAGCAGTGTTTTCTTCAACACGAGTAACTCTCTGATCTGATTTTCAGAGGTGTTAGGTACCCATGAGCTTAAGTCATTATTTTCAGAAGCTGAAAATCAGGTTGTTTCTGTATTGGAAACATACACCTTGACGGCTAAATTGGATGAAGAGTTGATTATTTTCCTTATTGCTTATATTCTGGAATTTTATAAAAGCAAAATTAACCCTGGAAGACCACTATAATTTAGGTGACTACTAATAGATATCACTTTCATAAAATTATGGCAATGGGCAAATTTGTTTTTGAAAAGTATCTTCTGCAAATATTGCTGCATTTTAGTAAAGGCTTAAAAAAATTGTCAGAATGAATCTGTTTGTGATACAAAGTATTTTCAGATGCAGCATCTCTTACCTAGGCCATGTCTGTGTGTTGACATAGGAGGCATTATAGTCCAGACTTTGGTGATAGGGTTGAAACATTCAACAATATTGGAGGTTTTCAGACCATCTCTTCCTCCCACAATGTAGAGTTTGTTGTCAATTACTGCAACTCCAAACTGTAATCGTCTGCCGTTCATGGTACCAATGTGTATCCAGCTATTAGTCCTAAGGTCATACTTTTCAATTGTAGTGGTGCCTATTAGAAACAATAATATGATACAACATGAGACAGCCTTGAACTGCTCACTATCCAACAGTCAGTAGTTGATCCATTTTGATACATTATTGAATTGTAAGAGACTGAAATTCTGTACTTTGACCTTTCCTACATCTTCCTGAGTGCCAGTTAGAAGAGTAAACATAGTGGGACAGCTGTATTAATTGCATGCATACATAATTATCAAACAGATGGGAATAAAACATTGATAGGAAGGTGCAGAATTACAGCTAATTTTTTAGCACTGAACAATTGTAGATAAGTTAAATCTGTCACTCAGTTAAGTAGTATTAAGGAAGTTGGTTTATTTGTTGTTAATTCTTTCTGAGTATGGTACCTCACAACTATATACTTGTTAACCATGTTTTTGCCTGAATTAGTAGTGCTCCCTAAAACTAAAAGTATATCTGTAAATCTGCCTTGATTTCCTTGGTGCAGTGGAGGCAGGCAGAAGGCTGAAGTGTGGGTGCACATTTGCCTTCCACGGGCAGCTTCTCTGACGTTCACCTGTGCAGCCTTGCAGTAACTGCTTGTCTGCTGTAAAATGTAAGTTGCATTTTCAGTTTTTTCAGGTCACTGAACTTCTGGTCATGGTTTTACTGAAACTATTCATAAGGCCCCAGTTCCCTGCCATTCAAAACTGACACTTTTCCATCTGCTGGCTCCTGTCAGTCACACTCAGCTGCTGTAATTGCCCCCGTGAGAGCTGATTTAGCACAGGGGGAAACGGCTGAGCACTGCTGAGGCAGGAAGAGGCAATTGCCGGTTGCGCACGCAGCACGCTCTGGAGCTCAACTTCAGTTCAACTGAAGGCAACCAGATGAGAAAAACAGAGCTGATTTCCTGTCTGCTCCTTGACTGAGATTTGTAACAAGAGAACTTGTATTTTGAGGATGACAATAGGCAGTTCGTGGATAAATGGTTTGTGACTGCAAAACAAGCATGCATTAATGCAGAAAAGATAGTTTGCATTAGAGATGTTTTCCTTAGTAAAATCTGCTGAAGTTCAGTTGCTGTACTCAACAAATAGAGTGAAACAAGAGCTTATGTGATATATTTCTTTGTTTGTTTCCCTCTATGTGCCTTTCCAGATACACAGATCAGGAAAGAAGCTACCTGATCCATGTGCTATAAAAGAAATTTAATTCTGAGCAACTCTCAGAGCAAACTCTGTTTGCTCTTCCTTTCTTTGATTCTGTCTCATTTATTTTATGCTAATATGTGAGTGCCCCAAAGTTCTCAGCTTCAAAAGAAGTATCTCACATTCTAAAAAAAAAAAAAAAAAAAAAAAAAGGAAAAATATATTAAGGTGTACAGTGTGTTCATACCCTGTAGGCTGTAATTTTTACAGAGGCTTGAAAGTAGGTTTCAGAAGTTAATGTAGTTTAGGCACATTCACATTTTTTTTAAATACTAGTCTGAAAGTGGCTCTTTGATCTTCTCTTGATCATTTGAAGTTGAGATTTGACTTCATATACCACCTGAGATAAGCACAAAGCCAAACCTGGCACTCTCTGAGAGTTCTTGTTTTCTTTATCACAGAAAGCACATTCTAGCCAGAGGTTCAGTTCTCCCCTTCTCAGAGATGTTCTTCCAGTGCCTCATAGTCTCTTAGGTTCTGTTTCCTTTATCTTACAGTCCAGCTCAGGCTGAAGGTATGAGTCAGAGATACAGAGGACAGCAGGGAGGAGAGGAAGTGCTGTTCTTCTAACCATCAAAAGGCAAAAGTTCAAAGAGCTGGCTTTACTCCAAGGTAATAAGTAGAAGAGGCACCAACAGGAAATGAAGATGTTGACTGAAATAGCCCATTCTTTGTATAATCTTTACTGAAAAAAAGCCTATTATAAAATTTTATTCCAATTTTTAATAGTTTAAGGGTAATTTTGAGTTCTTGGTTATTTTAAGTCATTCATAAATAACAAGTATTGCTAATTAAACTTCACTAATCGCTACGACTTAACTTTGTTTTTCTAAATTGTCCTGAGATTGAATGCTTTCTCTTCGTGTTATGATCGCAGTGAACACACAGTTTGCATTGAAATTGATTGCAGAGGGTAGTAAGGTAGCACTGCATAGGAAACGTTAGTCATCAGCAACTTTTTCCAAACCATGAAATGGATTAACTTCTCTGTGATTCTATTAATAGTGAATTTGCACAGCTAAAGGTAATGCTGTTCAGCAAATCACTAGACTTTAAACTAATTACAGTTTTTTGGCACTGAGCAGTGGAGTCCTGTAGAACATAATTTAATATACTTCCTACTAAATGGAATAGTGTAATTTGCAAAGCTGTAAAACGGTTGCAGTTGTGAAAATCAAATCATAAAAACCGGAATATATCTATAACATTTAGCTTCCAGCTACAAAACTGAAGAAAATTCTATATGTGATCCTGAAAAAACGGCAGGGTTCTAAAATAATATTAAATATTTCTTGAAATATTTTGAATGTTGGTGTTTTCTGATTTGTAAAGTCAAACTTTGCACAAATTCTTATAAAATTTTGGAGTTAAGATCACTATTTGAATATTGCCTGAACTTATGGCTGTATGTATGTTATCTAGAAACAGGATTCTTTCAAGAAGGAAAAATATCTAACATATGGGATTGATTTCTGCAATTTTCTCCTCCTTTTCCATCCTTAAATTGCTGTTTTTCTACTGAGCTTTTCAATAACTGTCATATATTCTCTGCGTGTCTGTAATACAATTACTTAATACAAATAAATATTTCAGCTTACCTTTAGTGGCATCCATACCTCCTACAGCATAAAGTGCACCCACTGTAGACTTCCTAGGCTTTGTTCGAGGGCTCTGCATCATCGACCGTCTTTCTGGTAGGAGATGGTACTTCATAGCCTCCATGAGAAGTTTCTGGCATTCTAGGTCGTCTGCAAACATTGGACTATTTTCTAGATCGGCTAGTAACTAAGAAATGAAAAGTGATGATCTTATGTGTATCTAAATCATTAAAAGTTGGATGCACTTCAGTAAGTAAAGTCTATGTAGTTACAAAGATAGGTGAAAGTGCTATCTGGGAAAGAAATGTACTTTTGAGATACCACGAGACTGATATGTTTATAAAGATAATTGTGAGCACAATAATTACATTTACGTTTTTCTTCTAGCTTACATTCTATCTTATTATTACAAATAACAATCATACCTATTATGGAGTTAACAAAAAAACCCAAAAACTTCCACATCAGGAAACAACAAATCAAAATCAGAAAGCAGTACTACTCCACAGGTGTTGTTTTGTTTTGTTTTCGGTTTATGGTGAAGGCCCCTGTTAGCCCTTCACTTCCATACCTGGGGGGGAAGTAGAGGCAGTCTGATATAAGATAGAAGCATCCCCAGGTCTTGTTGCCGGTTTTGCAAATCATGTCTCACCCACATCATTAATGCCTGGAATATAACTTCCTCATCTGGAACATTGATGTCATCGCTAGACAGGAGTTTTGCAATCTCATTAGCAGGGAGTAAAAGAAATTCCTGGTTTTTAATAACTTCTGTGAAATGTTCCTAAAAGGAAAGAATAGATTTCAATGCACTCATGATTTTCACAACCTGAATTAACCTTTTCTTAGGTAATATAGTCTTTGCATATACTGTAGTCCTGTTTTGTTGTAGGGTGTACAGAAATATAATACATATTCTCTAAGTCAAGGAACCCCCTTCTACCATTTAAGGGAGACTGGTTTCTCTTTGAAGCTTTGCTCTTGTAGAGTTGAGGACCAATTATCAACTTCACCACTACCATGCTTACAGCTGCAGTTGGCAGGATTCCTGCTGGTATGTCCTGGCAGGATTTGCTACTGGCAGTTTTCACCATCAGTGTGATCTTAACACTGCAGACACAATTTGAAGATAAATGGTATATGTTATGGATGGTAGGTGGGTATTCAAATTAACTGTATAGCTTGCATTACAAGTGGATTTCCAAGCTTTAAACTCTATTCAGATTTGCAGTTCTTTACCGTGTCTGGTGCTGACTGTATGTCTCTACTCTGCAGTAGAAAATGAAGGGAAATTAAACTCACTTTTCTGACGGTAATTTGGAGGCAAATGAAAACTGGGCAAGTCTTGAGAAAGTGGTCTGAGACCATAATCTAGTGCTATGATAAAACAACCAAATCCAGACATGACCACAAATATGAAATCATTTGAACCTTTCAAAGAATTATTTTCCATAAAAGCATTACATTGGACAGGCCAGTACAACAATACTAGAATTGATATTGAAATATTTTATGTTTACTTGTGCTAATTCCAAAGAAATGTTTTGTTAGCTGTTTTCTGAAGTTACATGCAGAGAAATGCATGTTGGATTTTACCTGTATTTGAAATACTAGTTTCCATTTATGTACTTGGAAGAAATGTATTTTGTGTAGAAATCAGAAATGGGACAAATGAAGAGATTTTAGTTACTGATGTTTGTATTATTTATTTTCAGTAGTCTCTTAGCTTTCTTTAACTCTTTACAAGAGAACTCTACTGAGTATGTAAATATGGAAGTATTAGTGATTAGAGGATATGTTAACTTTTCTGTGCTATGCACATCCTGCTTTAATATTTTGTGACATTCAGAGAATAGGAACAGGAAGGCCAGACTACATTTAGTTACAAATATAGTACAAGATGTTTATCAGAGCAAGGTCTATCTGCATGTAAAGATACTAGGCAGGAAACTGTTAATACTTTGCATCAGTGGCTGAAGTAGGTGAAGGGAAAAGCTTCCTCTGTGTCTGTTTTTGTTGAATGGATGTGGTTTATAGCTTGTCTTCTGTAAGTGTTTAAATGTTACTAGTTCATTTGGATGATCTCTGTATTTACAGTACATCTTTATAGTCTTTTCCCTGAGGTACGCATTTTCAAGTGGTTGAGGCTGGCCTGACACAAAACAGAATGTTTTATTTATCCTCTTCCACAACGGTTTGTGTGCATGCATTGGTACAGTCTCTGTTCTCCAACGTCTTTTGAAAATCAGCTCAGAAATCTGGTCTGTGAATTTAAAACGGTTACAGTTGAGGCCCATGTGGCTCGGAGACAAAAGAGGTAGCAGAGGGGGGAATTTCCTGTTTTCAGCTAAGGATATAATGGTATGGAGCAGCAAGGACAATGCTGTTATGTAGGGCTTGAGTGATCCTTCTAGCTTCAGTGTCCTTTTTCAAACTTTAAAATATAAAAGAAATCTAGATTGCTGCTGAACAAACCATTCATTAGTATGACAGGAAGGAGCACAACCAGTGCCCTCAATCTGCACATGCCACTCTCATTTACTTCATCATGTGGAAGTGTGCGGTCTCTTCCTGGAATGCTCTTAGCATTATGAAGCCTCTAAACTGGTTTTGACATACTGTGCTAATATTTCAAGCATAAAACTGCCATGTGTCTCCTAACAAGGAGTTCTTTTTATATCCATTTAGCTGTAGCGGTTGCTATTATTTTTGTGTTTAAAGATGCTATAGCACATCTTGATGCCCTGAATATTTATCCCTTGATTTGGTTTCACAGCCAGCTATCTTGCTTCTCTGTTTCCACACTGAATATTCATTTCTCACTTTCAGCCGGAGGAGGATTATGCTTCAGTCAAAGATGTGCTTCTTTTTAGCATTCCAAATCTTTCTCATACATTCTTTATTTTGGATTTTGTAGTGTATGTGCCTCACCTTAAAATAAGCTTTGGAATTTTCTTGGTGTTGAATCAACAACATGTGAATGGGCCATTACTATTTTTCCTTTTGACGTTGTCCACGTTAAGATCTGAAATTTCCCTTTGGAGTCAGAGCTGGGCAGAGATATCCCCAGGTCAGGGACTTTGCAGGAAAAGCACAGCCACTGCATCAGGCTCAGAACGCTTGCTCTGCTTCACCAAAGCTCATATGTTTTCTGGGAGAGTATTCACACTTGATGTTAACATTCTAATTGTAAAACAGGTAGATTCTTTAACTTACCATAGTGTATGTGTGTGCCACCTTCAGGAGCTCTGTGCAGCCCTGAGCATCTCCAAAGGAGCGGATCCCCAGGCAGTTGGAAGGATGGAGCTGCTTCATGAGGAAGTTGCAGCATACCTCAATGACCTGGGATAGCTGGAGAAGACAAGCTGCAGCTAGCAAACTTTCTATAGTGTCTTCCTTTAACTCTAGAATACCTGTGCAGTTTGCATGTAGGGAAAAAATACAAGTTTTCGGTCATTTTCTTTGTAATTTTATTTACTTGAAATCTTCCCACTCCCTACTTTTTCTGTTCCTGCAAAAAAAAAAATTGAAAAATGGCCTGTGATTCACAGGTTCATCTTCCTTTAATGCTGAAGGAGTCTTTAAACACATCTTAAGAGACTTAAAGGATTTGGTGGATTTTGAATAAATTACTGGAACATATTTTCTGAAACTCTAACACTATCAGATCTGATTTCACTTGAAAAAAGAAATAAAGACAAAGAGGGGATTATACAAAAACCTTACCCAAAATTCACATGTGGGTTTCTGAAAAATGTATCATAAATTTGTATTACACATGAGAAATTCAGTATCAATAGCTAGGAAACGCTAACAGTAAATGCTTGCAGGAAACCTGATTTCCTCATTTATCTATGAAATGATTATGTGACTGTGAGATTTTTTTTATGTTCATAAACAGACTGGAAGGTGTTTATTTAATTAGATTTTCCATTCTAATGCTTAGTAGATACTTTGATTCCCTAGTTGATATCCAGCATCAAAATGCTATTCTGAAAGAGATGAAATTTAATTAGGTGGGATGATTTTTAGATACACGTGGATAATAAGCAGCCCACCACCTCACTTCTCTGCATTTGTTCTAATCTGTTTTCTTGGGTGATTTACGTTTATTCAGTGCCTTATGCATGTTATGCAGCATTCCTTCCTGCCCGTGTTTATCCTCTTGTTTGTACCCACAAGCACATAAAGGGTCTATTTTGTATATAGAAACTTCTGTTTCCAATCTGGATTGCAGATGGCTTATCTTTCTTGAGATTTGTATCAGTTCCTGACCTCGCAAGCAAAGAAGTCTTCTGTTTTTGACATTTATGATAATACTATTATATTAATTACATTGGAGCCTTTGTTTTATTTTAATCTTTTGTTATTGTAACCCCTTTTTAAATTATGAGTACTATACAAATACTAATATATACCTATACATCTTCCAGCCTCCCTGTCTTGATATGTAAATTGTGCTATTCCATTCTCAAAAGCTAGCTAGGAATGTCCTGTGCGGGACATCAGCTGAGAAGGACACATTGAATGTTACTGGTGATAGGTGCAAACTGAGCAGATGGATCAGTTTATCAGCAAATGTTCGTAAATTCAGAAAGCTGTTTTTCTGTTTGGTTTAGTGTTAGTACTTTGTGGAGAAGTAATTTTCGCATTTCAAGAGCTGAGCACGTTTTGCCACAGAACTTCATAGCTTGGAAGAGGAAAGGGTTTTGCATTTTAATTTTCTGGCTGGGGTGGCTGCCATTTTCCTGAGTGGCTTGCTAAACACCAGAACATACAAACATCCAGAATCAGCTGCACAGGTTTGAATGATCTGGATATTTTTGATTGTGATATATAGTATGCAGCAGTTATGTTCTGCGTCACTTTACCCTGCTTGGTATAGCACTCATAAAAGCAATTTCACAGTTCTCTGAGTTGGTCTTCTTGGCTACTAGGTTTAAGGTCCAAAAATATAGGGTTAAATTCTGAAAACTGAGGGAAAGAAAGCAGGAGATAGATATCTACATAGTAGATGTGGGTGATGGAGGACTTACCTGTGTAGGCATAACGCACCAGAGCCTTCAGCGCATCCGGGTCCACTCCCTCCATCTTGATCTCCTCTTGTTTTGCTTCACGTACATCATTAGTGAACATTGCAGCGAAATAATCAGACACTGCACTGAGAACCAACCTTGAAATAGAAGCATTTTAGGAGGGCTGCAAATTACTTCATAATATTCATAACAAGCATGAAATTCAGTAATACTATGTAGCAAATTGTGTGTGTGTTTTAGAAATATTCTCTTACAATAGGATTTGAATCATACAGTAGTGAGCAGTAAAGTTAAAAGGGTAATTAGTACCTGCTTCTGCAATGACTGATCATTTATAACCAGGCAGGGTAGGCATACATTTCCCTAGCATTTGAAAATGTCAGGCTTTGAAGCCATGTAAACCCAAGCAGGGCAGGTACCTGTGAGCTGGAATCTTCTGGTCACCAACTATGAGAAGAACATCGCACAGCTGTTTCTGCTGCAGATAATTTTCCATTTTGCGGAAAGTTTGCTCTGCGTGGTTTGTAGAGTGGAAGTACTCCTCGGAGCCATTGGTGTTCATGCCAAGCAGTGAGCTGCTGGTCGTGGACAGCCTGTGATGAAAGAGCACGTGCAACCTTACAAGCTCTGATTATGCTCTTTACATAAGTTTTGTTCAAAAGGCATTACAGAAGCATTTGCAATTATAAAAGCTCTTATGATTCTGGTCTTGCTATGCCTCCTTACATTTGTTTTGGTTTGGTATCTGCAAATTTTCATTTGTAAGACTGCTTATAAATTCTAAGGTCAAGGAAGGAAAAATTATTGTGGTGAGGTGGTGCTACTGATCTGCTTCCTACCTATCCGGTGTCCAGAATGCACCATGATAAATGCAGCCTGCTGACCACTCACAGACAGAACATGCAAATAACAATCTGTTCTACCTAAAATAGCCTGTGGAGTGAAAGTTTGTGTATAATGTTTCTTTAGGTCTTATTTCTGTTTCTTTCATACTTTGTACATTATTATTACTGTATGAAATGGGAATGAATGAGAAGACAATCTGACAACTGACATATAATTCTAGGCAAATTACTGAGCCAAAAACTGATGAAATTAGTAGATTCTATTACTTTACAACCCAAACGCAAATAACAAACTAATTCCTTGCCTTTTCAAGGAAATGTGTGTTATAAAAATATGTTCTTCCCACTACAAAACTCTGTTAGATATCCCACTTATAAATACTTATAAAAACTATTTATAAGACTTTTTTTTTCCTTACTGCCTTCTAGTATGGATCTTGTTGCAGATTGAAATTTTATTGATACTTTCTTAGAAAAGTTTTTTTTTTCACCTGTTTCTTGTAAGATAGCAGTGCATTTCTTAATATGCATCTTTATCACAAATGCTACAATCTGCAGCATTATTTTACTTATTCTAGACATTTATAGATAATGGTTTCTCAGCTTATAATATCATCTTAGTTACAATATCTCAGCATATTATATTATATACTGTTAAAACCTAAAGCACCTTGTTGTTTTGTGGGTTTTTTTTCCAATTGCAAGGCCAGCAGAAGTTTGTCTTTGATACTGTCAGTGCATATCCAGAAGCACAGCAGAGATAAAATCTCTTCGTGAAATTAACCAGTGTTAGATTATGTTCACAATTGAACATTTAGTTCAGAAAATACAGAAATAAAAATAAGTTAATCAGTAGGATAATCAGAAAATATAAATAAATTAGATCATTTATTTTCAAAGATTGTGCATAATTAAATACTTAAATGGAATTCAGGGGGAACAATTAAAAATTATATGTAATCTGGGATTGTGACAGAGTTTTTTGTTCACTCTACATTATAGAAAAGTTATGGAATATCAGTTCTTTTCAGATTGATATGGAGCAAAATCAGAGTTGTTGTGACTGCTAGGTATAGGTTTCTGTAGGTCTTTTTTCCATCTTAAAATCCATCAATATGAAAATCTTCAGATTTTTGTCAGATTTGCAGATGTCCCCCAGTCCACTTGCCAACATGGCATCTTTGAGGTACTGGTATTTCAAAAGCCTTCACGTCCAGCTGCATGTGATACCTTTCCAGTGCACTGAGAACTAAGGCCCAAATCTGCCAGATTCACTGGATATGTATCGTTGATGGTCTGCACAAACATTATTTCTGGTGTAACTGAGCTGTGACACTTCTGAATTGTGTGTGTCACCTGAGGAACTAATGCATCTCAAACCCTCAGATGTGCACATATGCATGCATATTTCTCTTTGGGTAAACTCAGATTCTATTACTATTTACAAACATATTAAAACATACCAAATCAATGCAATAAACTCCATCTTTCTTTTGAAGCTCTTTGCTACAATGTCAAGTGCATTTTCTTTCTTTTTTTTTTTCTTTTAAGAAAAAGGGGAAGTCTTTCACCTATAACATGTATCCTTTGTAGTTTTCAGCTTACAAAAATTAATTTGTCTCAGTTTAATGACTATACTTTTTGTTTGTTTTGCTTCAGTGCTTCATTGAAAATGAAGGAGCTGAAAAATTAGATTATATACTCATTAGTTTTGCATTCAACTACTTGATACCAACTTCATACTCTGTAACATTCTTGTTTTGCTATTTATCTCTTAAGCTTTCTTTCACACTTCAAATGTTTTTTTTTTCCAAGCATATTTTGTTTCAGACTCATTATATCCGTTTTAACTACTGTATTTTAATGTATTACATTGCTCTTATCCTTAATGTGTCAGAGTTCAGCCAGAGTAATACTCGTTCATTCCTACTGCAAATGCACAGTAGCAGTTTCTTGAAATTAGCAATTTCCAATAGGGTGTATGAATTTGTGAGTAGGGCAGTCATTTTCAAGCAGTAAAGATTTTAAAAGAGACTTATAGTCCAATCATTTTACTCAGTTCTGGGTACTTTTTTTCCTTATATGCCCTAGAGTGACCTTTAGTGCAGCAGATATAACACCAACCATATAATTACTTAAAAAAAAATAAGGTCTTTAGATATTGAAGAGTACTAGAAGGAAAAAAAAACAAACACTGGCTAACTTTGTAAATATAATTCTGTAGTTGCCGATTTATTTTCAGTAACTGATTCAAAGTGGTAAGTATAGTATAATATGGAGGGGATAAATTAAGTTCTGAGATATTTCTCTATTTCCTTCTGTGTATGACTCTTAGTGATATGCAGATAACTCAAATATAGAGCTTCAAAAATTTAAATCTAGGGCGGAAAAATACAGTGAACTTTAAGAAGACAGAGTTTAAAGTAATTTGAAGAAGGAAGTCAGGAAAAATATCAGTGAGTCTGATGTTGAAATAAAATCAGGGGTGTTGCAGACTGCCCTACAGAAATAAGCAAGCTAGCTGCAGATGTGTTAACTTGAATGTATCTACCTGTCCTGTCTTGTTTCATGAGAACACAACACATGAAGAGATCTCACAGTTCATGTAAACCTACCCAGAAGCATGTAGTGGATGGAGAATTACTAGTTTTCTATAAAATGTGTATGAGTTTGGAAAAAAAAAAAAATCTGAAGTATATTAAGTAATAACATTTCCAGAGGTACATTAGCCTTGTGATGGCCAAGTAATTAGTTTTCAATTAATCAGAAGGGAAAATTACTAAAAACTGTTCTGAAGAATCAGAAAATTGAGTACCTTAATGCCACCTTTGTGGTAGTGCTGACTAGGATGCTGAGATGTGTTAATACCATTAGCACTAGTATTAAGAACTTAAGATCTCAGATTAGAGAAAGCGCAGGTAAATCTATACTTAAATGATTTCAAAGTTGCTGAGCTGCACAAATTTCATCTTAGGTAGAGAGCCAAGTGAAATAATTTCAGAGTTTTCCCATAAGGACTTGTAAAGGATTGTGAAAACGTTGTTTAAACTTTTGTTTTTTTTTAAAAAAAAAAAAGAAAGAAAGAAAGAAAAGAAAAGAAAAAAGAAAGAAAAAGAAAGAAAAGAAAAAAATAAGCACAAAACATTTGAGCAAACCTTCTTAACTGAAAACCTGAAAAAGTAATCAAACAATATTAAGTATCTAAATGACAACAAGGAGATAAATTCCAGCCAGCATGGCTGTTCAGAACAAATCATGTCATAGCATTTTTTTTTTCTTTTGTGACAAGATAACAAAGCTTACTGGGAGAAAAGAATTAGATGTCAGAAGTCATCTCGACTTTTGGATGACTTCTGACAGTATTTCACATGACGTTTTCAAAATCAAGCTAGGATGGCATATCTTAAGTGTAATGAATAGATAGCAACAACTTCTATCGGTATTTAAAATTTTTCTAAGCCAGAAGATTTTCTCAATGAACTGCAGTTGAATTCTGCATCTGATGCTGCTCCGTATTTTCATTACAGACAGGTATACAACAGAAGTAGGGTATAATCATCACATCATTAAATGATAGCAAATTGACAAATTTTGGGAACTGAATTTAAATAGAAAGTGCTATCTTTGCCCTCAACTTTTTTGACCTTTGGGCAAATTTTTACTTTTCAAAGACATGCTCATACTTGCATGTGAGTAATTACCTGAACAAACTACAGGATAGGAAGACATAAGGTAACAGCTAGATTGTAATGAATCCCAAAAAAGGTGATGTGGAGGGAAAATTTAATCTTTCCTTTGGTCAGGGGAATGGAAGTCACAAGTTTTGTGGTTCATTCCAGGCCTGTTCTCTACAATTCTTTAAATTGCTGAATTATACTAAAATCATTTTCTGTCTTCATAAAGTACTCTTCATTAATCAACGCAGCACTCTTCATTAATCAGTTTATAAATGATAAATTCACTTTTCATCTTTATTTAATTATAACATGATAAAACATAAATGCCATTTAATTGCCATGTCCTTTTTAAACTCAGTGTGATCTTAAAGTGCCTCATTAATTGTGCCTGTGGCCAAAAAGCATAAAGAAAAACCCTTAATGATTAGGAAGCTTAGAAGCATAATATTGCATGAAAACCAGATAATGAAATGCATATTTTGATTTGTTGTTCTTGATAAGGCTATTATTTATATTTTTATAGTGACCACTCCTGTGTTGGATATTTGTTGAATGCACCTAATTATTTTTCTTCTAATACTTGTGAAGACCAGTTTAACCAACAGTTCAGTCATCACTGTTACTTACAGGTTGTTATTTTGGACCTCTGAGGTCACCCCATCCATAACAGCAAACTAGACAGCAGTTAGAGACATTGCTAGGAGACATTAGGCATCTTAAGCCTTTATCACAGCTGAGAACATCAGTGTGACTTCGACTCTGAGGTTTATTGGATGTCCTTTAGCAGTGACAAGGTGTCAGACAAAACTGCAACTTCATCAATTCAGTTTGTTTGTATAGCAATGTTTACAATGCAACTCATCATTTTTTTCCCTTCTGATTTGTTTGTGCTTATTCGAGAAAACTACAGTCAGCCCCCACATAGGCAGACTCTCCCCCATGCAGATGCTTGAGCTCTGACCCTGTGCTGGGAGGTGTCGTGGAGCTGGAAGTTGAGAGATGCTATCTCCTTATGCCAAATTGTAGGGTCCCTGCATCAGTTGGCTGAGATATGAAGAAAAATATTTCTAT